TTATTACTACATTACTTTCATTTGCTCAGTGTTTATATTTAAAGACTTACATAAAAGTCTTTAAAAAGCTAAAAAGTATATTTTTAAAAACTTCTTTTCTGTAGTTGTAGATGGACAGCATGCCTTTATTTTATTTGTTTATTTTTTTATGTGGTGCTAAGGATTGAACCCAGTGTCTTACACATGCTAGGTAAGTGCTGTGCCACTGAGCCACAGCCCTAGCCCCCCAAAGTATTCTTAAATACAATATTGCCTAGACACTGATTTGTTTTCTTTTTTTGTAGTCATTATCAAGTTTGCCAGCCACAAAAATATATGGATTATGGGCTGGGCATGGTGGTGCATGCCTATAATCCTTGTGGCTTGGAAGACTGAGGCAGGAGGATTGTGAGTTCAAAGCCAGCCTCAACAACTGCAAGGCACTAAGCCATTCATTGAGACCCTGTCTCTGAATAAAATACAAAATAGGGCTGGGGATGTGGCTCAGTGGTCGAGGGTCCCTGAGTTCAATCCCTAGTACCCACCCCCCCAAAAAAAAATGTATGGATTATGTAGAACGTATAATCCATATAATTCATAATAGTGAACATAGGATCAAGTGAATATTTCTTGAGAAATTTCTTATTCATAAAATATTTATTAAGCATGTATTACTTTAGATGCTAAAGATACAAAAATAATATGTTTCTGTGTTCAAAGAACTGCTAATTTAGGTAAGATAAATATACTTGCAAATAGGTCATGAGGGGTAATAAGTGCTGTTTTTCATGAATAAAGAGCTATGTAAACATAAGGAAGTAATTAGTTCTGCCAGGAGGTTGGGGTAAGGATGGAAAAATTTTGAGTGGTTGGGAAGGCCTCACAACAGGAGTTAGCTAACTGAGTTCTAAGAATTACTGGGTTTACCTAAGGGGATTAGGACTTTTCAGAAGTAGGAAGGTAGTATAGTTTAGTTGTTAAGAGCACAGATATTTGGAATCTAACTGATTTTTTGGAACTGGCTTCATTACTTACTTTGACATTGAGGATGTTACTTGAATTGAATGAAGTGCTTAACACATGTTAGACAGTCATGGAATGAAATGTCTGTTCTACTCTACTTGCTCCTCTTCTTCTGAGATGAGTTCCTCAGTCTCTTCTGTTGCTACTACTGTTATTCATTATGATTAGATTGTAAGCAAAGTCAGAGGAGTATGAAAATATATTGAGGCCAGGTGTGGTGGCACAAGCCTTTGATCCTAGTGGCTTGGGACACTGTGGAAGGAGGATTGCAAATTTGAGATCAACTTTAGCAACTTAGTGAGCCCTATGAAACTTAGCAAGACCTTGTCTCAAAATAAAAATTTAAAAAAAAAAAAAAAAAAAGTTGTAGCTCAGTGGTAAAGCACCCCTGGGTTCACTCCCTAGCACCAAAAACAAAAAAGAAAATGCATTGAGATTCATATGCTATGAGTAGGATGTGTATCTCAAAATAAAAAAAAAACAAAACAAAAAGGACTGGGGATGGCTCAGTGATTCAATCCGTGGTTCCAAAAGAAAAAAAAGAAAAGCAGCATGGTAGATGTGATTGGCCTGATCCCCCTTTACCAGCTGATGTACCTATCCCCCAGCTCCTGTGAGTGTTGTCTGCTCATGTCTTATAGCTGACTCTTCTCAGGCATTGTCTTCTGCTAAGTCAGCTTTCTTGCTCAAGTGGATTTTCCTTACCCCATTCTGTAGTTAATGATTCATAGAAAAGGGATCCAAAAGTTCAGGCCCCTCACTTGAGGCCATGCCAACTTAGTAGCACAGTGCATGCTCTTGAGTGCCCTGCAGAAACTAAGACCCCAACCCAGCTTAGTTTATTTCCCTTGTTCTATTCTACTCTACTTGCTCCTCTTCTTCTGAGATGAGTTCCTCAGTCTCTTCTATTGCTGTGAACTTCCACATAAGATAAATACCTGGGACTAGATTGTAAAGGTTCTTGAATGCTTGCTTTAGAATTCTAGGTGCCATCCTCTAGGCAATGGGAAGCCTCATGAATTTCACAAGGTTCACTTTAGTAAAGAGGGGCAAGAAGCCAAAAATGGGAGAATTTTTTTTTTTTTTTTTTGTCCTGGGGATTGAGATTTGGAAGCACCAGCCCTTTTTATTCTTTGAGAGAGGGTCTCCCTAAGTTGCTAGGGCTTCACTAAGTTGCTAATGCTGGCCTTGAACTTGTGATCCTCCTGCCTCAGCCTCCATGTACCACCACTCCTGGTGGGAACTTTTAAGTAAGGAATGATAAATGTCTCAAATCAGTTGTCATTGATTGGGTGCGGGGAGATAAGATATAAGAGTCACTCGTAGGGGTTACGGAAGAAATGAGGTCTTAGACAATTTAAATATAAGAAGAAGAAATCAAAGATGCCTCTGAGCAAATGAGTAGATAAATAGTTATATGAACTGAAAAAATAGAACTCATAGGAACTGGTAGTTTTGGAGTTAATGAGTTTAGTTTTGGCTGTCTTGAATTTAAGGTATCCTGTGGAATGTCATATGGTGGAAATGTTCAGTAAGTTAAGTAGGAAATATCTGCCAGTTGTGTGGAAGATGGGATCAGGTCAACAACACTAAGGTGGTGGTTTTAGTTGTAAGGGAGTACAGGGCTCAAGGCAGAATCCTGGAAGCCCCATTTTTATCATTTAGAATGCTTTCAGCTCTGTGTAACAAAGAAAAATCTAATGTTCTGAGTCTTCTTTCCTCATGAAGGAAAGGTGATTCCATTGATTCCAGGATTCCATTTGCAAACTGCATATTCTAGAGGGGGAGAGAGCAGCTGGTTCCTGAATTCCTGGCAGAAGTCCTAAGCTTTGAGCTAATCAGTTTTGAGGAAGCTATTGCTGTCAAGAGAAGGGGATATTCTAATTGGTTAAGATCAATCAGGGGGCTGGGGTTGTGGCTCAGGAATAGAGCACTTGCCTTGCACATGTGAGGTACTGGGTTAGATCCTAAGGAAGGAAGGAAGGAAGGAAGGGAGGGAGGGAGGGAGGGAGGAAGGAAGGAAGGAAGGAATTGTGTCCATCTATAACTAAAAAAAAATTAAAAAAATAAAAAGATCAATCAGGGCTTTTCCCCAAAGGTGCAATAGGGTTAGGCATGATTAGCTGCATGCCTATAATCCAGCTACTTGGGTGGCTGAGACAGGAGGATCTCAAGTTTGAGGCCAGCCTTGGCACCTTGGTGAGACTCTATCTCAAAACAAAAAATTAAAAGGGCTGGAGATATAGTTCAGTGGCAGAGGGCCACAGGGTTCATTTCTTGGTACCATGAGCAAACCCCTGCCCTACCCCCAAACAAAAACAAAAGCATGATTGTGTTCAAGGAGGAGGGTGCAGTGTATGGAAGAAAGGTACAAACTTCACTCCAATCTTATACGTAAGGGACAGTCAGGAGAAAAGAGCCAGTGACACAGGAAAAATGGTGATAGAGAGGAGAAGAGAGACCTAGAGAAGTGCCTAGTGTTAATTCAGAAAGCCACTGGATTTGACAGTAGGTCACTGGTGATCTTAGAGCGATGTCCACAGCCTGGAAGGGCAGAACTCAAATGGTTGTCCAGCTAAATATGTGATAATGATAGGGAAGCAGCAAGTGTATAATTTTTTGTATGTTTGTTTTAAGGTGGCAAATAGAAGGAGTAGTTAATGAAGAACTGGATTAGGACAAATTAAAGTATAAATTTTGATTATGGACTTGGCGTGTTTTCTGAATGAGGTGAAGAATTTAGGGTTTGAACCTTGGTTTGACCTCTAAACACACTTTTCTGCATGCCCTGAGATAAGTCACTCTGTTTTCTCAACCTCTGGTGAGTAATAACCATAATAAACATTTCATAGGAACGCCATAGAGTTAAGCACGATAATGTTATGTGAAGAATATTTGTCAATGAAACTGTTATACAAATATTAGCTAGTAGTAAGCACATTGTTTATTTAAAACCTATCTTCTTATAAGAATGTAAGTTATTATAGAATACTAGTATGTAGAACTGAAAGGCTTATGAGGGAGGGAGGGAAAAAAGGAGAGAATAAATGAGTATGAATGAGTGAATTAATGAAACATGGCCATAGTTCAGAAGCATTTATTTCTTTTAGTATTCCTTCTTGATTTTGAAAAGTCAAAAGCCCTTAGGTTTTACATGATTTGTTTTTACACAATATCTTATTTATTTATTTATTTTAGTTGTAGATGAACACACAGTATCTTTATTTATTTTTATGTGATGCTGAGGATCGAACCCAGGGCCTCATGCGTGCAAAGCAAGCATTTTACCACTGTAGGTACAACCCCAGCCCAGATTTTACATGATTTTTGTTATCAATATTTTGTGTGGCTCTGGAAAGGGGACCCTTGTTGACTTGCTACTTTTTAGTTCCTTCCGAAATGAGCAGAAACAAAGTGAATAATGGTTATTGTATAGGTTACCAAGATGACTTTAAATTTTTTTGGGGGGTGATTGTAGATGAACAGCATGCTTTTATTTTATTTTATTTTTATGTGGTGCTAAGGATCAAATCCAGTACCTCACACGTGCCAGGCAATCTCCCCTGCCCCCAACGTGATTTTTGTTTGAAGCTGTTGCAGATAGTAGCAATAGTAATAACAATGTTTAATAGTGATAATAATAAGTGATTGATGGTAACTGGTGCTATCACTTTGTTATGTCACTAAGTATATAATTGACTTGTAGCTTTTTCTAACTCCATTGTCAGTACTTTCAGTCATGTTATCTGTCTTCTTCTTTCTTCCTCCTTCTCTCCTTCCCTTTCTTCTCTCTTCTTCTTTTCTCTTCCTCTGTCTTGGCATTGAACCCAAGGACACTTTACTACCAGGTGGGGTCTCACTAAGTTGCTGAGGCTGGCATAGAAATGAGAAGTACTAAGCGAATGATTACTTCAACATGAAATGGTTATTGAAGAAGTTGTGTGATTTTGTTTTAAATAAACTAAGAAAAATAATAAGTTTCCTTAACTACAACTCAGATTCCATGCTGGTTTCCGTTGTGGGGATGGCACTGTACACTGGATACGTCTTCATGCCCCAGCACATCATGGCGATTTTACACTACTTTGAGATTGTACAATGATGACGATGTAACCAGGATCTAGAGGTTCCTTGGGGAAGATCCACCCTATGAAGTTGGAATGAGACTTCATCAGATGTCATAAGAAACTCTACCAGATGTCAACATAACCAACCTTATAAATACAGAGACTAAGATCCATGAGTAGAACAGGAAAATCATCCTGACTCATGTGTTGTGTTCTTTATTTTTAATTTTAAAAGAGGCTCTTGTATAGTAGTTTTTGTCTATTTTAACATTGTAGTCATTTGTACTTTGATATCAGTATTTTCTTAACCTTTGTGACTGTTTCAATATTATCCTGTGAAAGCTTTTCTTAATGTAACTTTGAGTACATTTTAATTGCCTTCTATTTTTAAAACCCAAAGTCATTAGTTGGGCTCTACTGTTCTTGCTATTGTATGGCATATACATCTGCCTGGATATATTTTTACTCTTGACCAAAGTTTTGTAAGAAACAATACATGATTTGGGGCCAGGGGCTTGGGAGGGAGGATATTTTATTGAAGAACTACTTACAAAAGACTTCTCTGTAAGCTTGAACTCAGGAGTACAGTTTAGCTATCTAGACTCTTAACAGCTTTTGCTTTAAAATTATTCAAGTGTTTCTTAGCAATGAAAAGTAAAAGATCTTGCTAAAATTAAAATAAGGAACACTTTACCTTTTAGATATTTATTCATTATGTAGACTTATTTCTAGAAAACTTTGGTGATGATTCTTGACAACAGATGGTTAAGTAGCATTATTATGTAATGCTTGTATATACTGTAGAGTTTTTAATAGAAGGTAAATCAGTTTCCTCCAAGGGCCACTATTAACAGTATATGTACTTCCTTGAATTTAGTTTTCATGATTGTAATGGGTGCTGCAAATGCATTTGCACATTGCAATAAGATGTGATGAGATGAATTGTTAAAAACTATAGCAGCAAAAAGAAGTGTAAATTTGGTTAAAATTCTTTCACTCTTTGTATTTTTTTTAAGATTTTTATTCCTTAAATGTAAAATGACTACCTAATTTTTTGATGTAAGCTCATTAAATTCAAAGAGAAGAAAAATCAGCTAATGTAGTGGCATGTCTTTTTTCCATGGTTTAATATTGATCTAGTAGTTGTATTTCTGAGTGACTGCTGTGGAGGATCAGAGAAGCAAGTGAGTATAAGTTAGATTATATATTTTAAGATAGCATAAGTTTTGCTAATTTTAAAGACTGCAGGTATTGTTGGCCCTAGATTTTAAAGGCTAGAATTTTGAAGTGCTTTCCAATCCAGAGGCCTCAAATAATATGCAACACTTGAGTTTTTTTTTTTTTTTTTTAAGAGCTCATCTGTATCATCCTAATTAGATTGGGTAATATAATATAAACCAAATATGGATTATATGTTACTATTTAGTTTTGAAGTAGTTAAAATTGGTTAAGGTTTTATGAGCTGTATTCATACTCTTTCAGGTCAAATAATGAATTTGAAGATTTAACTTGGGATTTGTTGAATTAATGTTCAAATTTGCCATTCCTCTATTGTCCTCCCAAAAGAACTACTGATAGGGCTAGGGTTGTAGCTCAGTCGGGGAGCAATTGCCTGGCATGTGTGAGGCACTGGGTTCAATTCTCAGCATCACATATAAATAAATAAATAAAGGTTAATCAACAACTTATTAAAAAAAAAAAAAGAACTACTGATAAGTGGATACCTAATATCCCTTGGTGTGTCGAAGACAGGATAAAGTGAGAATCACTAGTTTAGGTGGGTACTGGATTCTCTACCTGGTCCTCAGAACTTTTTAATTTGTCCTCACTCTGCTGAAATCCATTAAATTTCTGTTGCATAGCTGATGATTGAGTTTTTTTTTTTTTTTTTGCCTGTGAGATATGTGGAAGATCAGTTTAGTCTTACATGAAATCCTGAGAAAGTTTAGACAGAAATAGAAGACTGTCCATTGAAAGGTGATCAGGGAAGTATATTCTCAAATGGCTAGTTTGTTGGTTGGTAAATAAAAAAAATGGGGAGATAATTTCCACTTTCTTTGTTTAAAATAAAGTATTTATTAGATAATTTTCTTCATGGCCTGCTTGTCTTTCTGAATATCTTGTAAGAAGAGGTACTGAATACCTTAATTCAGGTGTTTTTTCAAGGATAAAGATGAAGAAGATGGATATAGATGGTGTCTCCCTCCAGAGCAAAGGGCAGGTTTGCTTAGATCCTTGTAAGATAGAGGATTTCTCTTCTTGGAGGAAAGGATATTTAAAAAGATTTAGGTTCCCTGTACTCAGAATTCTTTTCCTGTAATGCAACCTTCTGCTTATGCAGGTTATATTGCCCCTTGGGAATTGGGGCTTGGGAACCAAAAATAAGAACATTTTAATACTTTGGCTATTGCTCTGATTAATAAAGTCCTTTGTCTTTGACCTTGGAATCTCACATTTTCTGCCAGCATATACAAAACTTGTCAGGCTAACTTGTTAGCTTGTGAGTAGAGTAAAATTTCTGACCCTCCACAATTGTTGGTTTTGGTGGTGAGGATGGGATATTGAAAGATATGGTCATCTGGAAGAGGAAGAATAACAAATGAGATTTGGAGAGGAGACAACTCTTAGGATTCAGTGCTAAATGCTTTTGTCCAAGTATTGGGTGGGTTAGGAGAAAAAGGATCCCCCAATAGTCTGCTTGTTGTAGTGAGAAGGAAGGAAACAAGCTTCCTAAATGGTGCCTTGGTGGCTGCTCATTCTTTGCTGGTAGAAGGGATCTTATCACAGTGGGACAATAGGCTCTACTGCCTTTGACTAAGGGAAGTGTGTCTATGGCTGCTCAGCCAAAGAATTCTGAAAGTTGAAGTAAATAGTGTCTGCAGGGAGGACCATACTATTCAGCAAAGACCTTGGGTGTTCTGAAAACCTTGGAAGCTAATTCAGGTAAGCCATGAATGAGTGGCAATTTGAAATGGAAATTGAACTTGAAACTTAAGTTTCATTAAAGAGAGCTGCTCTTTTTCTCTGTCCTCCCAATCTCTCCCTTGCCTTCTACCCTAACCTGAGCTTCATGAAGGAGAAAGATGGTTACAAATGAGACCCAATGTATACCTGCTCAAATGTGTTGGAGAATTTTTGCAAAGGGGAGAAATTAAAACTTATGGCTCTATTGGATATAGCTATACAAGGCACTAGCTTTCCCTGTGGGATGATGGGGCATCTTCGTTCAATTGATTGGATTTGAGCAACAGTTGCAGTAGCAAAGGGAAATTAGTGTGACCTTTTTGCTTGAGGCCTTAGTGTACTATAGCTTTTACATGAATGCATAATTGGTATTTGTTTTACATGCTTATACTTTGAATGATTGTAAGTGCCAGAGATGATCCTTATAATTCTCTATGTACATAGAGAAATGTTTGTACCTTTGGATCCCAACAACTAGAACAACTCCTTTGAGCTACAAGTTTTTGACTATGACTTTACCATTTTGCTGGTAAAAAAAGAAGCATCCTTTATCTGGAGGCACCCTTTGAAGATTTTGACTCCTTGTCCCTCTTATATGTCTTTGAAATATCCCCCTTTTGAAAAGCATCTATTAGCATGCCTCGGGGCTCTTCTCCAAACTGATGCATGGAGGTTTTGTCACTCTGGCATGATAGTCCCATTTTTTAAGTGAGTCAACTGGACTCAAGACAGGGTGAGCAAGGGCCAAAGAAAGTCATTGTCAAATGGAAATGTCATATTCAAGAATATAGCTGATCTGGTTCTAGCAACTTCTCAGTTTTATATGAAAAAGTAGCCACTGTTCTGCTGGGGATATTTCATTGCTTATTCTGCTGTCTGAGGCAAAATTGCTGGTTCAATAGGGACTTCAATTCATAAAGTTTACCATAAATGCCTGGGACTAGTTTACTGTTAGTTCAGAAGCTCAACCCTGATGTTGTCCACTGAGCTGTAGCCACTGCTCAGCCTTAGAGCTATGTCAGCAGAATCAAATGTGGGCATTGTTCTGTTCACTATGCAGAACTTGAAACTGTTCTCACAGTCCTGGCCTATATACCTTTTTGCAAAAGTTTGTTATATTTTTACTGACTACTAGGCTATAGCCAATGGCCTAGGATTTGGTTTCAGACTGGTAGGTTAAAGATGCCCTTCTTTTGGGTCCCAAAATGAGATAAGAATATTACATAATACATTAATTAAACTGTTTGTTACTCATGTAAGTGCCCCCCCATAGTAAGGATCAATTCTCTGGTACTAGCTGCTGATAAGCTGTACTAGCCATCATTACTGCCTAGATCCATCATCCTACTGGACACGACAACCTGTCCACCATTGTAGGTATGGCACAAAGGACCTAGTTTGTGATTCAAGGCTACCTGTGCACCAGACCTGTGAAAGTGTTGCCGTGTGTGGGGTGTGTAGGAGGATGGCGGTGGTTGTGTGTGTCACATAGAGAGCCATCACCTCCATTTCCCTACACTGTGCTCACTGATATATCAGTCCTTTGACCTCTCAGTAGCATTCCTTGTGCATCACTGCTGTTGACACTTTTTCAGATGACCCTTTTTTCAGGTTACAATATTGCTGTTCCAGACGGCAGTAGATCCTAGCTATACTATTGTAGTCCTTAAGTGGCCCAATTCCGCCACGCGACCAGCACGCTGGCTTCATACAAGAGGTTCGAAGCATAGAAGTTAACTAGTGAGATCAAAATAAACACACAAACTCAATTTACCTTTTTCTTTGACCAGGTCTGAGACTGCCCTCCCTCTGGCTCCTGCCTCGAGCCACCCGGTGGGGCAGCGAGGCTTACTCAGGACTAGCAGGAGAGAGAGAGAGCATGCCAGGGAGTGGCCTTATATTGGGGAACAAGAAATTCAAGGGAAAATTCCATCCAATGAAGGTCGAGGGGGACAGCATTCCAAGGTCAGGGTCAGTGATTGGTCTCAGGGTCAATGGTCAGTCACACCCCCACACGGAAGGGCTCTCGCACCTAGAGAGGGTGGGGATTAGTGACACAGTTTAGCCAGAACGCCTCACACCCAATCAGGGAGGTGCCCAATCACGTGTGAGAATGGCTTCCTACAGCCCTAGAACTGAAAACTAAAAATTTCCCTTCTTTCTTTCCCTGGGAATTGAACTCAGGACACTCTACCACTGAGCTACATCCCTAGCCCTTTTTATATTTTATTTTGAAGTAGGTTCTTGTTACATTTTCTAGGCTGGGCTGGAACTTGGCAACCCTCCTGCCTCAGCCTCCTGAGTTGTTGGGATTATATGTGTGTGCTACCACTCCTGAAATCAAATAGATTTCTGATTGTGGATCCCTCATCTGAATATGGAATGTGGTTGTGCTTAGCCATTTCATGGTTAATGATCAGGATGATCTATTGCTATTTTAAAATTTGGGATTTCTTCCTGACCATTCCTGGGTATGATGCTTTTCAATTCACTAAGGGCATCCTCAGACCAGTGGATTGGAAATCTAGTCAAAAGAGACCTAGGAATTTCACACTCAAATTCTGGTTCAACCATTTGGAATCTTGTTGGATTTGTATGACCCAATATCATGAGGCTAGTCACTACTTGGTAAGTACACTGCTTTGTGAACTGCTGAGTTGTTCATGTAGGCCAAAGTGGGTAGCATAATGAATCTCTAAGTTTTATAAAAATGGCTTATCCCTTTTACATTGGACTCTGGGATTAAAGGTCTAAGTGTGAACAGAGATGCTTAGGAAAAGGTGATTTATAATTACTGAAATGAGGCAAACTGGTTTCGTGGGATAGAAAGCAAACCCAGCATCTGGGGTGAGAACACCTGAGACACCAGGAGGTGGGAGGAAGGATCTCTAACAATCTTTTGTCTTTCAGTGTGACACCTGGATTCTTCTTCAGGAAGGAATATGCCTGAGTACTCTCCTAAAATGTTGCAAATACCTTAAATGGTGAAACTGCTGAATCTGCCTTTCTTTCTGAATGGTTCCATCCATGATCTTGATTGTCATTTCTCTTCACTTTAGCAAGACTCTACCAGAAAAAGCAATGGATAACCCAGCTTCCATATCTTCCATTCAAAACACTGGTTAATACTA